CCCCCCCCCCCCCCCCCATTATCAATCATGTTCTGAAAGGTATTAACCCAAGTTTTTAACCTCTAAGATACTGATTTCTTTAATTCTGTAATCATACCCTCTAAACAATCTCTCCCGTGCACAATATGTCTGACAGGTCACATTCAATGTACATTGGAATCCACATCCTTCAGCGACGTGTGTAATGAAGAACTGAGACACAGAGTGTGCTAACAGAGTACAACAAAATGACTGTGCAAATTACCACCAAGGGAGGGGAATAATGCCTTTTGAGCAGAACACTTACTGTCATCACCATCCCATGATTAAGAACTGACCCATTTAACAAGAGGTATCAAAGCTGGTTTAGCTGTAAGCAGCTCAACCAACACAGGTTTAGATAAGAGTATTTTTTTTTCTTTTTTTCTTTTTTTTTTTTAATTTTAAAACCAAACAGTTCTTATTCCCTTCATTCCTGACACAGTGCTACAGAGAAATCTCTGCAGTAACAGCAGCTTTGATATCTTCTGGTACTTGGATTAAAGTCCCAACAAGTTAACAGACAAACAAAAGATGCAGAAAATTTAGGATTAAACAAGACAATAAATTACTGAATTCAAACGCTTCTCAGACATGCCTTCAGCAAAGAACAAAATCCAAGTCTCTAAGTTCATTCTGAACCAACTCATGAGTTTTGCTTGGGACTCGGCACCTCTCTCACTAACATGGAGAGCTACCCAATGCCTCCAAGGAGACAGGTATCCCACTGCAAGATCATGATCAATGAAATGTGCATTTAGTCCAACTCTTCATTACTGTTGTGTATTTTCACATGTCCAACCCTTCTTATCCACAAGCAGGTGGAGCTTCTGACCTTTGAAGACGCTGTTAAGAAGCTTACCTTCTCTCTTCCACTCTACCTGGCCACTGAGCATGTGCTCCACTGAATTCACTAAACAGAGATGCTAGTCTGGCTCCTCTGAGAGGGTATCACAACATCTGTCATGCCTGGTTGTAAGGAGACTGGCTTGCTACTCAACTCAACAACACACCATTAACATAACCCATTACTGACCATGTACCTGTGAAAAACAGATTTAAAAACTTGCAGCCATTTTGGGGCCTAGTACTAAAACTTTTTACATTAAAATCTGGGCGGTTCAACATCAACTCTAACAATTTACAAGATGGTGCCCACAAAGAGTGTACATTCTCCAAAAAGAGCAAATCACAATAAACGGCAGCATTTTAATACGCTCTGAATTGGTATATCCATGCCATGTGTCAATACATTTCCATGTTTGGGGAATTTAAAAAGCAAATTGTTACTACTGTGCCCTCATTCTCAGCTGCTGGCAGAGTAGCCAGAGTCCAACAGTAATCCTGGTCTGGTCCTTGTTAGCAGTAACGGGGCAGGGATGAAAAGACATCCTTGTCAGGTCTGTGTCATGTTGAACACTGGGGCCTGAGTTCTTGAAACAGTATGTCAGGAGATTAATCTTTAAATGGGAACAATTAGAAGAAAATTACATCTTCTTTGCTGGTATCATCTTGTACATTTAACAGACTCGGCTGAGAGGTCACCAGGGTCTGAACGTGAACGTTATTGGGTTTGAACAGGTTCGCTGAGGCAGATGAAAGTGCTTCTGGCTGAGCGTCTGTAGGGCCATACAATTCTATAGGAAAAAATGGAAGAAGACAGATTCATGACAATGCAACGACAGCCTGATCCATTTCCACGGACATGCAAGTTGGTCCAGACGTACCTGGCTGGAATGCAGTGGTCTGGCTGCTTGGGAGGACTGGACTTGCTGATCGTCTGCCCCTCAGGACACCCTCTTCTCGTCCAACAAGCCTGGGAGGGAGCAGCTGCTTCTGATCAACAGATGCTAAAGAAAATATTTTACAAATGAGTATCTGAGGCTAGCAGTACTTGACAAACGTCCTTATTTCATGCTGGGGGCCACTGTATTGACACCTTTGCAGACTTGTGCCTTATTTCCCATTTATGTTTGTCTTGTCAAAATTTTCAGTGTTTTATTTGCAGGGGGATTTCTCTGCTGTATCAGTTCTAAATTATCTCTCATTGTTTAGGTGTCTCAGCTGCTGTGATTAAACTCAGAGACTGGTAATGCGTTAGATCTTCATTGTAATGATTTTTTTTTTCCTGTCACCCTTTATGAGGGTGGCAGAGCACTGGAACAGGATTCCCGGTGAGGTTGTGGAGTCTCCATCTCTGGAGATATTCCAAACCTGCTTGGATGCAGCCCTGTGCAACTTGCTCTAGGTGAACCTGCTTTGGCAGGGGGGTTGGACTGGATGATCTCCAGAGGTCCCTTCCAACCCAACCATTCTGTGATTCTGTGAACCACGGAAGCTGCTCTATCAGCTGGTGCTGCTGTTGAAAGTTACTTAAATTTTCTCTTCAGCTGTTTAGACCGTGAATACTTTCCCTTTTGTCTTCCTTGAGGACTCCTAATTCAGCCACCAGCAGCCCCTGACAACGGCAGATTTAAAACCCAGCATTATAAAGCACAGCAGAGAAAAAAAATCTTTGTCCTTAGCATTCAAAAAGCAACGGCTATTGGTGCTGCTTTTAACAGGCAGAACTGTGACAAACTTTTGTCTCTGCTCTCCATCTGTCTCACAGCTGCTCAGCAGCAGAGTACATCGATCCTGGTGTTACGGCCTGTCAAGTTTCTTAGTTCCAACAATAAAAGCAATTCAAGAAACCGTTACTCGGGATCCAAAGAACTCTTCTCAGTGCACATTCCTTACACGCCACAAAACCCAGATTCAATACACAGTATTTTGCCTCTGGTACAGAAAGTCTTGTTCTATTTTATTCTAAGATCTACATAAGCATGCATCCACTAATGCTCGTGAGAGAATAGGGGCCAATATATTTGTTTTCTACCTTTCACATAAATTCCAGAAAAACACCATTAAGTACATTTCCACTGCAGAGATCATTTCATAAAAGCTATTAAAAAATAAAATTGAGGAAATGTGATATTAGAAGCTTTATTTTCCCATTTACCTGCATTTGGTATTCAGGGTAAGAGGATATCAGGTTTCATTTATGTGCAAAAACATAAGCAAGTCTGTAATTACACTAAACTTTAGGCACAACGGAGACAGACATTCCTACAGTGCACAGAAGACTTTCCCCCTCCTCTCCCTAGACAGCTTTGGCCCCGAGTCTGCTGTAGCAGTGTAAGCCCAAGTGACGGGTAAACTTGCCAAATCCAAATCCTATACAAAGCTAAAAAGATAATTTTGTAACTTAAAATTATAAGCCATTCTCCTAAGCTGGCTGTAAGGCTATTTTAAACAGTAGAGAAAAAGTGGTTTTGACTGTGTCTGTCATTGGCAGAGATCACTACTTTAGTACCTAGCAGTTAGCAGCAGAAATTACACCATGATAGGGTGACTGTATTTTTACTCGCTTCTATTTCTGACAAAATTAGCCCCTTTCAACTCTACAACACACACAGCCCCTCAATTCTGGTCTCAAAATCTGTATGTAATGACTGATTGGTGCTAAGAAAGGCATCGCATTCAATGTCATTACAACTCTGGACAGACAGTAAGAGAAGGTTAAGCCAGCCTCAAAACATTTCACTCACACAGAACAAGCAAAACATTTGCTATTTTCCTTTAACACCACAGTTATGCAAGAAGATTTTTACATCCAGGTTTACAAACACTCACCATCATTCTGTCCTGCTGGATTACACAACTACATCTGCAACATCATATTTCCAATTTAAATAGTATACACATGTAACTCCTAATTTAAGGATTTGAAGAGCCTACTCACTGCAGTAAGCACACTAACAATTCATAGCACACTAATTTCTGGGTTCCACACGTGTAGCCAGAGGTTTAAACTACAGTGTTGTGTCTCCCTGTGATGCTGGCAGAGATCAAAAACACATTTAAATGCACCTACCTGAACTGTCTGTCCTATGAGATGCTTTGTTCTTCCCACTTTTCTCTTTGCTTCCTTTGGTAAACGTGGCCAGCTTAGTAGGAATCTGCTGCTGGACTGCAGCTGGTTTCTGTATCTGATTAGTTGCACTCAGGAGATGGATTGGCACTTCATTCTTCAACGCAAGAACCGGACGGTTCTCCAGGGTGGTACTGTCCCTACGAACCAAGTCTGGCCGTTCCAGGTAATCCATCCCAGAGACACTCACTCTCACAGAGGTTTTTGAGACAGGTAGAGATGGTTCCACCCCTTCTCCATTGAAGCTGAGAGAATGACTTAGCATCTGGTTCTGCGTGAGGAAAAAAGCATTGTAAGTCCAATGGGTTATTTTTGCCCTCTCAGATACAACAAGGAGAGACCACCCTCAGCCCTGAGAGCATAAACGGGTCAGATGAAGCCTGAAGCATGCTGGTAAACAGAAGGAGAGCAAGATTCAAAGTCCTTGAGCACTGAAAAATCCTCAGCAGCTCCAGAATTCTTAGTATTGCACCTAGCAAAGGTATAATGCATTAGGTGATGACAGGATGGACTTTCAGACAGTAACAAATGAGGCCATTTAATCAGACCCCAGCCTTCACATTTTGAAACGTAGGAAATGATTTTAGAAATCAACTGTACAAAATGCTACCAGTGGAGTACACTTTCTGCAATCACCTGCCTGCAAAAGGGCAGTGCCTGTATTTAAGAAATCCTCACGTTCAAAAATAACTTATTCTCTATTTCTACATTTAAAAAAAAAATATATATTCTCATTACCAAATGTCTGGGTGGAATGTCACAGACACTGGGGCACTGCCAAGCTCTGACTTCTCTGACAGGAGCCATCACCAGCTATTTCAGATGATGGTTTAAGGAGCTCAGTGAAAAGCGAACATGGGTTAGTTCTGCAGAAAGGACAACCTACCTTCAGAGGCAAGCATGGTAACAGAGATGAAACTCCAAGAAAAGGAATTCCTCACCTGTCCCATTTCTGGGGAGAACGTGCCTGACACCGTGTTCTGCTTCTTCAGCTTCCTCAGCTGATCTAGACGCTCCTTCTCTTTCTCGACTGCTCTCTGAGCTTCCCGCAGTCTCTCCAGGTCATGCTGATAGGCCTCTCGCTGCCTCTCGAGTTCTTCCCTCTCTTGATTCAACTTCTCTCTCAGCTGCCGAGTCTCCTCTTCACGCTCCTGCAGCCGAGCTTCTGTCCTTTCAAACTCCCTCTGCTGCCGACTCCTCTCCCGTTCCAGGCGCTGCTGCTCCAGCTTCAGCTGGTTCTGAAGTTTCTGTACGTTCATCAGTTCTTCTCTTTGCTTTTCAAAGTTCCGCTGTTTCTCCTGCTCTAGCAGCAGATTGCCTCGTGTAGACTGCAGCCGGTATTGCTTCTCCCGGTCTATCATGGTGGCTCGTTGCATCTCAATGTAGCTGTCCTGCTGAGATATCACTGCCTGGAGGGGAAATGAGAAGTTCAGTGTAAGGCACATGAGTATCAAAACATGCACAGCTGAACAAAAGCATCTACCAGATTAGATCAGAGACTTTTGTCTTCAAGAGCAGATCGAACTTCCAGGTTGGTCAGCCCATTGTGACTGACACAATACTAAAGATGGCTCAGCAAATAATGCTCACACATGGCAAAATTAACAGTTCTTGCAGCTACAACTATTCCTCTGAATCAAATCAGTCAAAATATTGCTGATTATAAGGCTACAGTAAAAACAGCTAATGCATACACACCTGTGTATATCAACAATTTAAAGAAGAAAGGAGCATGGAGAGCAGCCAAGAGTTCAAAACAGCAAAAGAATTGCCTTTAAGTGAGCAGGAAAAAGGAAACAATTAGTTAAGACGACAGATCTAACACTTCCTTCAAAATACCAGACACAGTGTTTGTTTCCTTGAGTCTCAGGTCTTAAATTCTGCACTTCACTCTAGCTTTAGGGGATATTCTCAAGGTAGCTCCTCTCCATACCTGCATAAATTTTATTACATTTTATGCTTAACAAACCTCATGGATAGTAAATAGTGGTTTACCTGAAGACTGAAGAGCAGCTGTAACAGTGTTTGTATCCTTTGGACAAGCTGAGGAGGACAAGAGGCAGAATGAGGAAAAAAAGACATTAGATACTGGAACAGAGCTCTGGTTTGATGCCTAAGGCTTTTTTTTTTTTTTTAAACAGTGAACACAATCAATAGTATCTGTACAAAAACAGAAGCACAGCTACAAGAGTACTCTATCTAACACAGTAACAGCCCATAGAGCCATAGGCAGGCACGATGAATTTCAGTATATTAGTCCTTGCACAGACACAAATCAGTGCCCAGTAAATGTCACTGGGATTCCAGGCAGCAAACTTCATCATCAGTTTTCTTCATGTGAGCTATTTGATGATCACTTCCTCCCATGCTCCAGTGCTGAATCACTGCACAGGTAGCGCACTCACAGGGAGTTTCAGAGGCAAGTTTTGCCAGTGAGCTGAGAACACACAATCCCTCCAAAGATGCAGGAAAAGCAGTTACCCAGCTCTTTGAAATGTGTGTCTACATACCCAGAACTCATCTTTGTTTTCTAATAGGACTTTTATCTCTGCATTCATAATGCATTAGAGTCATAAGGTACAGGCTGTTAATGTGCTTGTGGTTCCACAGACACTAAGAATAGTGAGTTTTTTGGTGGGGGTTTTTTTTGGGTTGGTTGGTTGGTTTGGTTTTGCATGCTGTTATTAGAATATGGTTATTTCCCATTGGATTTCCTAACAGCAGAAGTAACATACCTGAGACTCTATGGTGGGCTGAAAACCACTGCTGTCCTCCAGCCTCGTTACATCACTCTGTAAAAAAAGCCAAGAACAACATCTGCGCTAGAGATACTTGTTGAGCATTGTTAGTGCTGCCAGAACAAGCTAGAAGGGTTCATCTCATTAGGGAAGAGGGTTTACTGCTGGAGCAGAGATTGCTCCCATACACTGAAGGACACGTATCAAAAATACTTAAATTAGAGGCCAGGCTGAAACAGCTGCACGGTGATTAAAGTTAGTGTTAATGGGATAGCATCAAATGAACAAATATAAACCCAAATGATCATGCCTCTCACGTGCAAAGCTATCAACTTGCCCCACAAAACGTCCTTAGTAGAGTCTAGTAATTTGACAGACAACTCTGTCACAGTCCAGCCCTACCAGCTATTGTGACTTTTAGCTTTGCAAGATGTGTTCTGCATCACCGTTCTGAAGAGGAGCATGAGCACGATGCATTTAAATCACACATAAGCCCAACATACGGTTTGGGATCCTTCTTCTACATCAGAAGGGAGGTCATGGAGTTGCACATCTGAACTTGCTGCAGGGCCTTTCCAGTCCCATGGTCTCTGGTCACCACCACTATTCTTCCTAAAACTACCACCTGGAAGAAGAGTGGAGTATGAGTAGCTCTGACCAGCAAAGTGCTTGTGAAAACTCACTGCATAACAGAGCAAGCAGAAAAAAATTGTGACTTTGAAGTTTGAATCAATATAGAGCTGCAGGGCTTATCTGTGCTGAGTCAAAGTGGAAGAGGAGACAACAGTGACGAGTGGAACCGCTCAAAAAAAGTATAAAAACTTCAGGAGAGTGGGTTGAGATAAACAGGCAGAGTAAGTTCAAATTACATGATGCTATTTTAAGTGAAGCAACCACAATGTGTGCATGAAAATTATAATCTGTGGCTACCAGAATTGCCAGCTCATAACATGGAATACTTGATAGTGGAAAAATTCTATTCAAAGCAGCACCACTGTAAACGCAGAAGGGGAGATGGAAACCATACTGTAGAAAGCACCTATAGTGTGACAGATATATAGAGCCTTTCAGAGACAACAAAGTATTCTAGAGATTCACAACCAGTGAAATAAACACCATTTTATTTTTCAATAAATGCAAGAAGCAAAATGGAGATAAATATTATCTAGTATTTCCACTTATTTCATTATTAAACTGCCAAAGCATCTGTGCCAAAAGAACAATCTGTATTACCTAAGGATTCAGCAACCCTTTAGTGACTGTGCAGATACAAAAGAAAGTGGAAAAACATTTTCATGGTTCAGTAATAAAAGCAATGAAAGTTCCCTAGGTTTTCAGGTCAAACTTATTTTTTTCAACAAAATTAAAATTGTGTGTGGGATGATGGTAATTAGAAAGTATGAGTTATCATAATGCCCTGAGCATAACACCAACTGAGAGCCCTACTCTGCTCTCTAGTGTTGGCATCAGAAGCAAAAGATACAACATGCTAATACCACAAACTTGCTCTTATCCTCCTCTTAGAGCCTGGTGAAGCTTCCTTATATCAGAGCCTCACTAAACTCATCGTTCTTATCTCATTCTCTACACAGAGAAACACAGCAAAGAGCCAAGCAGCTCAGCAGAATGCTGAATGGTCCCTTTCTTACTTTTATTTGATGTTGAAGGACTACTGTCATATCCTCCAAAGGTCTCTGCTCTCCTGGGGAGTCCCGACCCAGAGCCATCTTCAGGCTGACAGGACCCACTGCCTAAGTGAGTGAAGATAAGGTTCTGGAGATTTTCAGCTAGGAAAGAGAAGAACATGTCATGTAAATAGGCACGACTACACAGAAAGACAAATGCATCCTACCAGCAAAATAAATAAATAAATGAAACCATCAAGTACATTAAAAGATCAGGCAGTTTGAGAGATTTCCTGCAGTACAGATGAATTTTCCTTCATCACTAGCTCTTTATAACAGGCTCTTCATATTGCACATATAAAGATGATGTCTTCCTTGATTCCAAGTTAGATTATCAAGCCTCGAGTGCTTTATTTGGTTGGGATTTTTGGCGGTTTTTTTGGTTTCTTTTTTTTTCCAAATAAAAATTATGTTTGTGCTTATTTTCTTTCTAAATATACTATCTTTAGATATTCTATTTTAATCTATAACCCCCACATAATATTATATTTCAGGACTGGTGTATTATTAGAGCGCTGTTACCCATCTGAGTAAGACTCATCCTAAGGCTCCACTGGTTGATCCTTAAAAATTAAAAAAACCCCCAAGCTGTGAAGAAGGTCCTCTACCTAAAAACTCAGGTGCACATTTCCTATCTTGCAGATTGGTTCTGAGAATAAGTTTGATGAGTGTTACATAAAAATATTATGTTAATACAGGATGATTTTCAGCATCTGCACTTAGCTCTGATGTGCTATCTGACTGGACGCGTTCACATCCCCACATCACATTTACCTTCCGTCACTGCAGACTTCAGAATCGCCTCTCCCTGCAGGTTTTCTGAGATATCCCCCCGAAGAAGCAGCCTAGATCGGGATCCTTGGGAATGGTCTTCAAACCCATTCATTTCAGACATTTCTAGATAAATCTGTTGCTTCTCAGTTAGACTTTGCATAATCAGGTCATCTTTCATGTTCAAACGCTCTAAAGGAAGAAACAAACTCAGGTCTGCCTTCCTAATCACTGTCAGAGCACAACGTTCAGTTTGGAAGATGATCACTCATTTTATGTCAGAGCATCAAATGCAGAGATGTAATTAACAGTTAATGGGAAAACTCATGGAGCATACAAAGCTTATTAGACTTATTTAACTTAACTGTATCTATATAATCTTGCACTACCTTGAAAGACTTATGAAGGAGAAACTTGTTCACATCATGTGATAAAAGAATAAGACAGTCATAAATCACAAACGCTGCCGAGAAGCAGTTCATGGAATATATAATAACTAAGTCATTACCTTGAAAATCTTTTAACTTAGCAGCTCGTGCTTCAGCCAGTCTCCTCTCTGCTTCAGGTTCATTAAATGTTCCTCCTTCTTCATCAGGACAGCTGTACAAAGGGGGAGATAGATATATGTTTGATTTGAACATTAGATAATAACCACATCCTACGAAAAAGCTTCAGGTTGAATCCTGAGATGGTTTTAAGTTATCTCGTGTGTCAATCTTACAGAATCATAGAAAGGTTAGGATTGGAAGGGACCTTAAAGATCATCTTCCTCCCTTATCCAAAGCCCCGTTGCATTTGACACCAGTGAACCCAGTTTTTAGTTTATTTTTTTAAAAAAAGCAGAATAAAGTATTTGGCTGATTTTTATTGAATCTTGATGAGTGGTTTCTTCCCAACAAACAGAATCACATGCTGCAGTCTTACAAAGAAAGTTTAGGGGTAGTCAAATGTATTTTTACAATAAATTTCCACCTATGAGTCCTATAAAGAAAAGACAGATGAGCAAGAAATCAAGCTCCAGCTTTCCATCATAATTTACCTTTCCACAGCTCTGCGGATGTGTGCCATCCAGGAATTCCTCTCCTCTTTCGAGCTTGTGTGAATTTCATACATTTCTGGTCCTTTTAAGGAAGCACTAATTAAGAACATGGCCTTTTCCTCGTTAGCTACCTCTCTTACAATCAGCTTTTGCAATGAGATAACTGGTGGTTTAGAGTCCTGTAAAACAAAATGTAATTTATTGCACTACATTATACATGTTCTTTAGGGTTTGTTGCTGCTGGACCTTCACAGCATAACCTAGTGACGAGAAGAAAACTGAACTGTGAAACAGGAACACTAGGTTTTGCCAACTTCTCTGAGCAGCTGTACTGCAATTCAAGCCACGAACAGAGGTCACTGGGCAAACAGAATCACTGAGCAGATCTGTTTGCTCCTCTCCCTTGTTTGATTTATCTATGGAGAAGTGATATCTAAATTTCAAATGAACTGTAATACATACAAAGATGCCAAAAAAACCTGATCAGTCTACAACTGTAGAGCATGTTACTGGAGGGGAAAAACCTGACAGTGCAGCAGGGATCAGCTTTTGGGGACTGTCACAAGCAGCTGTGTGATATGTGCTCACAGAAAAGTTACTAAGGACATATAAATGAGGGCATGGCCCTGCACTGGAACAGCCATACTGACTAAGAACATGCATGCATGCTCTTCTCTCTTGGGAACAATGCTTCAGCCTCGATGTAAGCTACTCACACTTCTCTCAAAGCAGCAGTAGTCACATGGAGAACTGCCACAACACAGTGGAGACACTGTCCATTAACAGGATGTTCTTCCCCTCTATGAACTTGTTCTTCTGCTCACAGCTCAGATGTGTTTTGGAAAACAGGGCAGAATTAGTCTATCAGAGTCAGTGTCATAAAATGAACTATTGTTCAAAGATTCACCTAATGCTGTTCAAGAGAAGACAACTTCCAGCCATCCTGATTTCTGAAAGTATCCCCATTCTGTGCATTAGAAGAAAGGTAATTTGAAAAGCAGTTGCTTTTACAGTCCTGAGGTCATCAAAATAGCTTTGGCCATTAGAATTCAGCTCTAATGTTAATGTCTTGAAAAGAAATACATCCCAGAAAACAATTACATAAAATAGTTTCTCTGTTAGTGTTTCTCTTACAGCCATAAGTGAACTAGATCAGGACAAAATGTACACGATAACTGCTCTGAGGAAACCTGTGGAAAGGTCCTTGAAAGTAAATCCACTGAGTGTTCTAGAGTGCTGCAGTAATTACATTGGCATTTAGTGCTTATTACATTTACTTCAGGAAAGTTCTCTGCCCTCAGTAAATTTTAGGCTACTATGACCTAACTGAAATGGAAGATTCTTCCCCTTCACAGCAGAAACAGACCTTACTTGCAGCTGCCTTTCAAAGCACAGTTCAGGAATGTTTAACATATATGACTTGTATAAAATAGCAGCCTAACAAAGTTCGTTGAAAGGGAAAGTCACGGCACAAGAAAAGGAGGAGGAGTAAACCTCAGAACACACTCGGGGCATCAGAAAACCACAGGAGATGTGGCAGCCAGAACAGGCTGATATAAGGGAACACTATTTTGCACTAAGAGACAGTGGGAGGGATCCAACAAGTACCAGAACTGCTTCAGAAAAAGTCATTCTGTAATAGTTGTCTGGTTTATTAACTTAATTTTCCTCTGAAGCTACCATAACAAGTATCTGAGATCTCTAACTGTATTTCTTCTGTACTTTCTTCATAAATCCTCTAAGTGAATGTATTAAATAAAGAGAACAATACCTACCACTGATGCAAATGTGTATTTTTGGTCCTTTTCTTGTAAGAGCAGCAGTACATCGGTTAACAGGACTGCCAGAATATCTACAGCAACAGCAAAAGGGAAAAAAAAAAAGAAAAAAGAGGATTTTAAAGTGGAAAAGACTGGTCCAGACTCAAAAGTCACTTGACTTAAATTTCCTGTGGGTCAGGGAATAGCACAATCATCATTTGCAATATTGGGTCTGCTACTGCCTTCCACCTGGCTTGTCCACAGGCAGTTTGCAGTCGTGCAGAGCCAGCAGAATACAAAGAGAGCTGATTTAAAGCTTGAAAACACCTACTCAGGCATCCTACACATCGACTGAAACACTCACGAGGGGAACACGTCTCCCTCAACAGCAGATTCTTCTCGAACTGCAGATGTTCACAGTACCACCTACTCTTGGTTACACTTTATGTTCCATTGAAGCTTCTCCTTGAAGATTTGAGCAATGAAGCTGATAAAATATTCCCTGATGGACACTGTTTTGATTTTCTGGCAAAACAGACATTATGCAGAATGAAGGTGTCATGGGGTTAACACGACACAATTTTTCAAAGTGTGAAGCAGAGCTCGCACAAGATAATGCCTTTCCACGGGAGATTTAAGTCAGTATGACTCAAGGCTTTGTCATCTATCTAAAGACCTCCTTCTTGAATTGGAAAGCAGATCAGACAGATAATAAGCAAACATCATAAGGAACTTATCATGCACCATTACAGAGATGCTTATTGGACAAGCCAAGAATAGAACAAGTGCTATTTCCTCCAATATCCTATTAAACAAGCAGGTTATTGTCATCTTATTTTATACTCAATCGATCAGTAAAAAAGAGTTACTAAAAATAAAATAAAATAAAATAAAAT